ATCCCTGAACTGAAGGAAAATGAGGTCAGTTTTTAAGCTTCGGTGTTTGTTAAAAGAGCAGAGTTCCGAAACCAGGCTTATCATGCGAACCCGAAAATCCACACCTGACCTTTCCTACCTTCTATTTATTCCCTAGACTATACCCTTCCCCCTTTATTAGCACTTGTACCAGCTTACAGAAAACGCAACATTAAGAACTCTGTGGGAGAGTGTTGTGGACTTAGTCTCTGAGGGGTGATATGTAGTGGATATTATTTTTGTCATTTCGGAGTAAATTATGATGCTGCTGCAGATGTACCTGTGTTGTTTATGCCTGTTTCTAATGCTCTATAAGACAGTGGTGTCTATATCCCTCTATTTCCATGGGTTGCTTTGGGTTACATTAACCTTTGAGTGTTACCTGAGATATTTGAAGTCATGATCATTATAAGCAATTTGTGTATGTGAAGATACCTGGCATTGACTGTCTATAGAGATAGGTTGATAGATGTATAGCTATATTTTTGGAGGTATGAATGATAAAGATGGCAAAAAAGTGATTGGTAGAGGTGATCTTTTCTCGGTTAAAGTTTACAAAAGGACCGCACCGACTAGGAGAAAATTGAAGATCATAGCGTTGTAGGCAATGAAAAACTACATTGACTGATATCAAAATTAATTTGCAGAAGCCTACCGATTCCAGATAAACGACGAAAATAGATCGGGGTGAGTCCACTCGGCGTTGACGCGGCTATGTCCACACGTGACCTATGTTTACTAAGTTCTCGCGCATTGTTAACCCCGACTGCTCGGCCACTGCGTACCTATGTCACATGACGTCACATGACGTCACGACGAATCGTGTATTCCATTGTTTTTTTTAGCTTTTCATACGTTTCTAATCTTAATATTTTTCTTGCATAAACATAAGATGTTATTTAAAATATTTTTTTCTATTTCATATTGACCTTGTTTCGTCAATTAAGGCCTGTGTTTATTTTTTTTAACAATGATTTCATTTCATACTTTGCGCGTGTAAACGAAGGATGGCTACTTTGACAGCCGGTCAGTTTCAAGTATGACTAACCGGTGTCAAGACTGCGAAAGTGGCTTTGGTGTCTTTTTCAAAAAAAATTCAGGTGAAACTGAAGAACTATAGCTCGCCTGTACCCTCCTCACTAAGGTATGTAAAATGATTATGGCGAATCTAGTGTTCGAGAGGGGGTTCGTGGTGGATCCCCTTGCTGCTGAAGCACAGCGATCGGGAGGGGGTCCGGGGGCAGAGCCCCCGATAGGGAAATACGGCGATCGGGAGGGAGTCCGGGGGCGGAGCCCCCGATAGGGAAATACGGCGATCGGGAGGGGGTCCGGGGGTGGAGCCCCGATAGGAAAATACGGCGATCGGGAGGGGGTCCGGGGGCGGAGCCCCCGATAGGAAAATACGGCGATCGGGAGGGGGTCCGGGTTAGGTTAGGTTAGGTTAGGTTAGGTTAGGTTAGGTTAGGTTCATTTTTCTACTTTCTTTATCATTTGAATTACGATTCTTGGCTCAGGTTTTTCATTTTTCCACTTTCTTTATCTTTTGAATTACGATTCTTGGCTCGGGTTTTTCATTTTTCCACTTTCTTTATTATTTAAAATTACTTCATGGAACTTTACTGTTGCTGTTTATTCGCAATCTCATCGATATTCATCCCCCCCCCAAAAAAAAAAAAAAAAAAAAAAAAAAAACGGTTCCCCACGGGATCCCCCAAGATTGTTGGCTGGAGTTCGGGACTTGGTCTCCGACGGGTGCGGTCCTTTTATAAACAATTACCCTTTTCTCTTTAACCCATTCAGAGATATTCCAGTTTCATCCCATATGAAGATGAAGTGACAACAAAACATGCGGTTAAGGTATACAAAAGGACCACACCGACTAGGAGAAAATTTAAGATCATAGCGTTGTAGGCAATGAAAAAATACATTGACTGATTTCAAAATTGATATGCAGAAGCCTACTGATTCCAGTTAAACGACGAAAATAGATCTCAGCGTTGACGCGGTTAAGTCCACACACAACCTGTTTCCTAAGTTCTCACGCATTGTTAACACCGACTGCTCGGCCACAGCGCACCTACGTCACATGACGTCACAACGAATCGTATATTCCATTGTTTTTTTTTAGCTTTTCATTTACATCTCATACGTTTCTAATCTTAACATTTTTCTTGCATAAACTTGAGATGTTATTTAAAATATTTTTTGTCTATTTCATATTGACCTTGTTTTGTCAATTAAGGCCTGTGTTTATTTTTTTAACAATGATTTAATTTCATACTTCGCGCACGTAAACTAAGGATGGCCACTCTGACAGCCAGTCAGTTTCAAGTATGACTAACCAGTGTCAAGACTGTGACAGTGGATTTGGTGTGTTTTTTCTCAAAAAAATCAGGTGAAACTGAGGAAGTGATTCACATTTGCAAAGAACATGGCCTTATACTAAATACTACCGAGTGTGCAAAGTAAACCTCTTATAAACATTTACCTAACATGCAACATGGTCAAGTAAACCAACACATGATATTGGATGTTGTTCAAGTGAAAAAGTGCTTAGTCACTAGAATAAGGAAGAGAACATCACTTTCTTTAACATTAAGGCCAATCTCAATGACATATGTAGCTGTCAGTATTATTTGACTTGATCATTCATTAATGGCAGTAATGATAATCAAGTTTCTATTTTCTAGTACAATGAGTCAGACATCCAGCATGTCTATGAAACACATTACTTGTGTCAGACAATCACAAATAAAGCTGAAAAATAAGGATAAGGAAATGCACTCTTCCCATGGTTATTCCTGATCATGTCCTTCCCTGTAAATGACATGGCTCCATTAATTACAGTCTTCTTCTTCTACTTCCTCTTCTTCTTCCTCTTCCTCTTCTTCTTCTTCTTCTTTGGGTGTGATATTAAAATGTCAATTATACTGACTAATACAATTGCCATATCACTGATTATTAATTATTCAGGTTAGAACCTCATGAAGATTAGGAAAAACTGATCTGATTGTCAAGGAAGCAACACTATTGGATAAAAAAAAAAAAAAATCTGCTTTGAATAAAGGTAAACCTATGATCACATATCACAGCCTGCAGATCTGTGAATGAAACAACTAAATGTCCTATGTGTATCACACTTTGACAAAGAACAGTAATCCTCCTCCATATATTATAGCAAGATAGGGCAGATTAACCCATTGCCACCAGGGAAATGCTGTGCCTATTTTCTATATTTTTTGTGAAATGTCTGCCCATAGATGGCTCTGTTAGTGCCTGATTTGAAATGGTGGGAAAAACGTATTTTTCACTAGTGCCATGAATATCGATGTTGTTATTTTTATTATAAACATTATAATTATTATAATGTTTTTTAACATTAGTAACAGCAAAATAAGATAACGTAAAATATTTCATAAATCAAAGAAAAGGGTGAACAGGCGAGGCAGGCGGTACTCATAACTGGCTCATTGGTGATTTAGTACAAGTGTAGCCATCTATGTTTGTAAACAATCAAATAAGTAATCTCACAGTGGGCATGGCATGGCATGCCCGTTGGCAATGGGTTAAACCAGGTCATATCTTGCAGAAGTTCAGAGGCATGGCATTACTTTTTTATTATCATCACTTGATGCAGCCTTATTCTGGAGACTTACTGATTAATCTTCCTAGGACAATTTAGATTTTGATATGATGAGCAAAAGTAAGGTTCAGCTTGGCTACATGAATATTTATTGTACTATATATTTATTTTAATATCTTATACCTTCATATATGGCTTAATTTTTACCCTATGTTATTCTTTTATTTTCCTTGATATTTCTATAATTTTACTTCTTTTAACCCATTGCCGTTGGGGAAAATGAATAGAAAATGGGGGAAATGCTGTGCTCATTTTTTATATTTTTTGTGAGATGTCTCTACACATAGATGGCTCTGCCTTACCTGATTTCACCTTTCCTTGAATTAGCAAGAAAATGTATTTTTACTAGTGCTATGAATATTGATGGTGTTAATTTTATCATAAACATTATAATTACTATAATGTTATAAACATTAGTAATAGCAAAATAAGATACTGTAAAATATTCTCGAAAATTAAAGAAAAGGGTGAATGGGCGAGACAGGCAGTTCTCGTAAGTGGCTCATTGGTGGCTTAGTACAAGTGTAACCATCTATGTGTAAAAAAAATCAAATAAGTAAACTCACAGTGGGCATGGCATGCATGCCCATTGGCAAAGGGTTAATATTCTTATCAAAGGCCTTAAACAGTTGGTCTGTATAAGTTATTTAGATATAAGTTACATGTGCATTTAAGTTTATTTATTTATTTATTTCATGTGCACTACTTTCACATCCATCTCTAATCTTTAATCTATATCAGATTACAAACTTCTCAATTTTAGGCAGGGTTCAGCTGATGCGATTTTTTGTATTATTTATTATTGTCATATTCAATCATAAAGCTAATGAAGAAGAAACAAAGTTAGGTATTACATCCAGATTCATGGATATTTGCTTTCATAATTAGGTAATTGACATAAATACAATTCTTCCTCCATCAGGTCCTGGTGAAAATGCTAGCTGCCACTGTGAATCCCGCAGATATCAATACCATCCAGGGAGTTTATGCTGTGAAGCCCCCACTGCCAAGCATACCTGGCAATGAAGGTGTAGGAAGAATTGTTAAGGTTGGCAATAGTGTGGCTGATGACTTTCAGCCAGGAGACCATGTCATACCCAGGATTAATGCTTGGGGCACTTGGAGGGATTATGCTGTGGCATCACACAAGGAGCTTATAAAGGTGAGTAAGAGGCTAGTTCACTTATCTGTGAAGTTTTGTGATTTTACACGATGTTGAATGGTTAGCTTTGCAGATAGTTTGTGATTAAGGCATGGAGCAGGAATGAGAGGAACTATAAAGGTTTTAGTATTTCATATTTAAAAAGATATGAATAGAAAAGATCCATGCATTATTTTT